GTTGTATCATGGTCTGATTCACGGTTTAAGAAATAAAGGATAAGGCTCAAAGTGTATTTGTACCCGCCCGTTCTTCGTGATGTTATTCAGTCCTAAACTCAGTTAATTATGCGTTTGAACTCCAATTGAGTCTGGAATGGAATTTTGGTGATGGTTCAGACAAGTTAAGTTTGTTGGAAGGTAGTCACTTTTGACATGTTTTCCATGTTGTTGAGGATTTGTAGTGACCTCTTTTTGATTTATTATCCCTGATTTCGCCTGACTGTTCTTATTTTTGAGATTACAGTCAGCGGGATATCCCAGTTTTTCTTAAGTCTCCTTCGTAGGTTTTGACTTAATGGGCTTTTCTTTTGAGAGATAATGACTGCCTATTTTGGTAGGGAACAATCATCGACTTTTGATTCTAGAGGAATGTTTTTGATGTCATCCGTTGTGTACGAAGTGAAAGTTTGCGACTTGAACGCGCATTTGAATTAACTGAGAGACTACCCTGCCCCAGGTTTTGATTAAAGGTTTCAATTTTGTGTGAAAAATAAAGCTCTTACTTCTTAGGATCAAGGGGTTGACTAGGGACTATCCTCCTTATAACTCCTGTGTTTAGGAATTGGAATAAACGCCTGTACATCATCAGCAAGGTCTGTCCAAAAGCATATTGTATGAGATTATGGCATTGTTTTCGTCATCCTCCCTCTAAAGGCTTGCAACTTTTGAAATAAGAGTTGAATATCATAAAGGGAGTACAAATGCATAGTTTAAATATAATACAAATGAATGAATTAATTCAAGACAAACATATTTAATGCATTAATGAGAGTAACCAAAGTCTGACATAAAGATAAGTGTTTAGATAAACAAAGAAAATTACAACTGAAAATTTGAATAAACAGAAAATTCTTCGCCTATACCGTCACTTTAATTGGATGCCCTTGAGGGGTGGTAGAAGAGCTCCGGTTGACCGTCTTGTGTGAACTTCAATACTCCTCTGTCGACCAGGTTTTAAATCTTGTACTTCAGCATCCAACAATCATTTGTATCATGCCCAGGACTATCAGAATGATAGACACACCTGGCATCAGGATTGTAGCTGGGAGAATAAGTTTTGGGATTTGGATGAGGTCTTATTGGTGTAATTAGATTCATCCTCAACATGTGTTGCAAAGCTTGAGACAGTGGCATGTTGATGTTGGTAAACTGTCTTTTGGGCTCGTTTTGCCTTTGTTGATTTTACCGTTGATGTTGATGAAGTCGTTGTTGGGCCAGTGATGTGGCAGCAATTTGGGAAGGTCTGCTCTCCCTCAAACCAGTTTCTGGTCTCATGGGAGGCTGAATAATGATTTGATCCCCAATCTCGACTGTTTGCTTCATATTTTTGCAACTGTCTTGATGAAGTTTGTTGACGAGGATGCTTAGCTCCTCTTGTCCCCGAGCTAAGTTTTGGATAAAAGCCATCTGGCCCACCAGTTGTCCCATCATCTGGACTTTCATTGTTGCCATTTCAGTTTGTATTTGTTCCAACTGGTCATCCTTGTTGTCCTCATGATTCCCCATGATCATGCCCCAAGTGAGAAGCGCTTTCACTTCTTCTTGCCCCTTGGATAGGTTCAAGAACATTTCCTGAAGTTGAGCATTTTGAGTCTGAATGTCCTTGATAGTTTGTTCTAGAGCCATCTCTATTGAAATAAACAGTAAGCAGATGAGAGACCTGTGTGGGAAAATCCTGTCATGATATGATGCATGGTATGTGGATGCAATGTTTTCAAAGATCTCGCAGGGTAAACACAAGAAGATGTTAGAAATTGAATTTTGATCAACAACTTTGACTTGAGAACTTCGTATCGGTGGATGTCCTTCCATGAGAATCAAGCTCACCATGTCAAGTGGTTCGTAGCTCTTGACTCAAGTTACCGTGCTTTGGTCTTGACGGCATTTGGTTAGAGGAAAAATCCTCTTTCCCCTTGATAGACGTCTGATCCAATGTGACCTTGCATCAAAGGCCCTCGAGATCCTTGAAATGGCTATTGAAAATGCTATGGTTTGATGTCATGATGTTATGTACAAGTATGCAAAATTAAGCAAGTTGTTATGTATAAATAGTCATATACACACAAAGCAGACAAGTCCTTAGGTTTAGGCTTGCATGGAGTTTGATAGGTAAGTACCCTCTTGATGTTTAGTTGGCTCAACCTGTCTTAGTAATAGTAACCGGGTTCTTTGGTCATCCCCGAGACCACTCAAAAGGAAATGGAGGAGATTTTAAAAATAGTTAAGAAAAGCGACTATGATGTTGTAGAACAACTGGGGAAAACCCCTTCAAAAATATCTATGCTGGACCTATTGCTCTGTTCCGAAGCTCATGCCAAAGCTCTAATCAAATTCTTGAAGACGGCCCATGTGCCTCAAGAAACCTCCGTGGACCAGGTCCAGGAGTGTGTAGCTAGCCTAACAGCCGACAACGGTCTTGGCTTCTCCGGTGACGATTTAACATCTAAGGGGAGAAAGCATAATGATGCGCTGCATGTCTCGGTGGAATGTAGAGGGACTACTTTAGCTCATGTTCTGGTTGATACCGGGTCGTCTTTAAATGTCTTTCCAAAGAAAGCATTAGACAGATTGGACTGTGAAGGTTTAACTTTGAAGCCCAGCACCATCATTGTTAGAGCCTTTGATGGTTCTAAACGGATGGTCCACGGGGAGGTGGACATCCTGATTAAAGTGGGTACTGAAACTTTCAATTCCACATTCTATGTCATGGATATCCATCCCTCTTACTCGTGCTTGTTGGGAAGACCCTGGATTCATCATGCTGGAGCCGTTACATCTACTCTGCATCAGAAGCTTAAGTACCCTGTCCAGGGGAAAATTGTGACAGTTCACGGTGAGGAGGAATACATGATAAGCCATCTTAATTATGTCCGCTATGTGGAATTAGATGGTGAATTCATCGAAACCCCCTTTCAGCATTTTGAGGAGGTAGCTCAGGAAATTTCAGCAGTGCCTTTTGTACCCGTCATTACCAAACCTGTGTCCCGGATGTCATCCCTTAAAGATGCAAAGGTTGTGATTGAGGAAGGAGGAAGCACAATATGGGGTCAGTTGCCAGATTTTCCTTACAAGACAGATAAGTTCGGCTTGGGTTTCACTGCTTCTGCTCAAAAGGCTGTACGCCGCTCCCGGGCTGGAGGGCCACCATTGAAGATCACCCATCATTGAGTTCATGCTTTGGAGGATGGTGAAGATGAGAGCAAATTTGAAGATTGGATTTTCCCGACCATTAAAGAAGGACTATACAATTGGGAGGCAAAGGATTTTGTTCCCATTACTTTCATCAATCAGTAATTTATCTTTCGAACATTTTCTGTTGGTTTGTAATAATTCTTAAACAATTCGTACACTTTTAACCTTGTGCCTTACCCGAGGTACATAGGTCCATTTGTAAGGGTTTGATTTTTCATCTTCATATGCCATTTTTAATGAATCATGGACATTTTCACATATAAACTTTTGTGTTCATTTTCTTTCTTTTTACATTTTATTTGTTTAAAGGTGGCTATCCCTTACACACAACCACACTCACCAATGCAGGTACCCATCCATTCCGGATTCCATGGGTAACAATTCTGCTATGGCCTTTAGTAACTCTGAAGATCTGGTCAATCATGCCGAATACGAAGGTGATGAAGACTGTGAAGTGCCTGGAGAGTTTGCTAGACTGCTGCAACAGGAGGAAAGGGCTATTCTACCTCACGAGGAGTTATTAGAGACTATCAACTTGGGGACAGAGGAAGACAGAAAAGAAGTTAGAGTGGGTGCCAACTGTAATACCCCAAATTTGTCCTACCCTTCTACTTTTATCTGGTTTACGCATTGTCGCACTTTTCTCATGTACATAACTCCATTAGGTCATTTAACATTGCATACATTCGCTAACAACATAACTTGGCATGGGATCAAAGATTTTGAGGTGTATGGTTTCTCTTTGGCTTTAAGAGTCTCACTTTCATTCAAGGCTGATTCATGTTATTTACTTAACAATCTTTGGCTTATGGAGCTAGGGTTTTTGTGTGCATGATTCATCGAGAATTTCTTACATCGGGATATTATAAGACATCCATCTTTAAGGTCCCTTCAAAAGCATCAAGTGTTTACTACCTTCTCAATGACTCAGATTCAAATGAGAATGCTTTGAATTAAGGTTTTTGTACTTATCTTCATCGTTGCAAGGGTTAGATTCCTGATAGGAGTCTATGAGTTTGAGGATGCATGGGTGATACTTTGGTTCCTCGGGATACAGGGTACAAGATATGGTTTGTGGATTCAAAACATCATCACTCTGTTAGATATCAGTTACTTATCATGCAAGTTAAATCTGGCTCGAATTTGGAGAGTTGAAATTAGAGGTTCATTGAGAATGCAAGATAACTTGGATTTGAAGTCGATTCAAGTGGTTCCATTATAAAAGTTTGGTAAGCATTCGATCATAAGGATGTTTTTTGAAAGCAAGATGCAAAATATAAGGGCTAAGATACAAAGGCATTCGCGCAAAGTTCGACATTGTTCAAACTCTTCATCCGTAAATTCATCATCCTTTATCCAAGTTTATCCAAACTAAATCATTTCCAAATCCATCATTCATCATTATCATTCAACAAAAGCTTGTTCAAATTTCTCATTATTCATTCGAACATTAAAGAATAATAAACATGGATTTCTGAGTGATGGAAATAAAGTATGGATCTTTTTGTCATGGCAAGCTTCAAACTTGAAGTTCCATTCGAAATGTTATTCAAGTATCGATAAAATCTTGTCCAAATTCATTCAAAGTCCAATTAGAGTCTGAAGCATTTCATTCTAATAAATCATCATATTCCAAGGTCATTCATGATCCAAAAACATTACAAATATACAGCATGTTAGACATTACAAGTTCAGTTCTAAGCTTATACTAAACCTAAGCTAAGCCTTATTATTGCTACGATCTTCGAAACTTCGTGTTGATGCCCTCAATAATTGTTGCCTTTCTCCCCATATCTTAACTCTATCAAAACTTGGCTTTTCATCCTCGCACCATCGAATTCCAAACCTGCAATCAAGAAATGGCTCCAAAACAGCTTGCACAATCCAGAGAAGACACCCTGTTCAAGAAAAATTAGCAGAATGAAACCAACTGTCAAACAGAATAAAACTCTATAACTGCTAGCCAAAACAGAATTTTATAAATTCCATAACCAGAAAATAGAAACAGCCCTGTAACTAACTCAACCAACCTCTAACCAATCATAACCAATTCCCTTACTCCTAACAAACCTGTAACCTACTGCATAACAGAATTTTGATAACTACCTCCTAACTAACAAATAACCAGCTTCTAACAGAATGCCACAACAAACCTTTAACCAACTTTCTATACAATCTAACAAACTTCCAGCAGAAAAATTCTAACAGACTATACAAAGCAAATTTTACCTCTTTCATTAGGCATTCTTCAGCATTCTGGAAGCATCACCACAAAAAAATCAGAATCATCTCTCTACTCTCTTTCCAACTGAATCATCATCACATACCCCTCCAATCTCTGAATTTCCCTTCATCCTCCCTAGGAATTTCTGCAAACTGCTTCACATCTTCATCACTCATGGACAATCTACAATATTGCAACAATCACTTCAGTTCTTGTTGCTGTAACTTCTCTCCATCAATGCAAATCCATCAACAATCCATAATTTCAACATCACATCTTCATCTCTGTTTCAAGCACCATTTCAACCTCCTTCATCTCCCCTTCAAACGTAATCGTAATATCAGTAAGAATGCACAATTACATCAATATAGCGGCAAAGCAAAAATGCAGAAGAAAATTGGGGATGGGAAGAAGGTTTACGAGTTGTGATTTAAACAAAAGAAAGAAGAGCGAATCTGATGGTAATTGTACCTGGAGCGAGAATCATCCAGTGTTCTATCTTTGTTCGTTGTTGTCAAAGACGCACTGTACGTTCTCATACTCCTTTGCCGCCGTTTGAATCTGAAGAAAAAGAATATGTGATATGTTAGACGCATGAAGATGAGAAGAGAAACACAATGAAGATCCAGAATTGACGATGATCGTAAGGGAAACAGTGGCGACGCTGTGTTGAGGTCGTCAGAGACGAAAAACGTGAGAGAAGATCATTCTGAATAGCGGTTCGATTGACGATCAACTGAAGCATGAGCGAGACGGCGGTGAACGTTGAAGATCGGTGGAGTTTGTAAGGTGACGCCGAAGATCGTGAGGTGAGATGTTGGGTTGAAGGAGAATCGTGACGGAGGACTGGCGAACGGAAGAAGAAGACGACGGAAGAGATGTCGAGCGGCACCGATTCTGTTTGAGAAGAGGGATACATTACATTCAACCCTAATCCCTTTTACTTATTCTTATTAGTTTCAATTTTTTTTTATATTTTCAATTGTTTTTGTTTTATTTCTTTTTTCTATCTCCTCATTAATTGCTAATTCTTGATAAATAAATAAAAACAAATTAAACAAGTAAAAGAAATAAAGGCTGGGCCAAATCTCCCTTCTCCATAAGCCCATAGCACACTTTTTTGAGATTGAAGCTTGTGAACAAAAAATTCTTTTGGGCAAATTACTGCACTACACCCCTGAATTCAGCTCATACCTCCTGACTCTTCTAATTTTTCTTTTTTATTATTTTAGTTTTCTTCTAGTTTAATTTTCTCTCTCAATTGATAATAAAATGATACAAAACAATAGAATATTTTAGATTTCTTTAGAATTTCTTTTTAGAATTTCGATTAGAATTTTTTCTATTTTATTTTTCATATTTGGTAATCATTTTTATTGACTTTTTAGTCAAGATTTTTGTGATAGCACCAATATAAATCTTGCAATGTGGAATGCCCGGGGTTAATTCTTCAATCACTCGTTCGAGGAAACTTTGGTAGAATTTTCTTATCACTTGTGTGGCGTCGAAGAGGCAACGGACCTTCTCCGTTCGGTATCGTCACAACTCTATTTTATTCTTACTTTACCGCAATCCATATGCATGCTAACATTAGGTAGAATTCCCTCAAAATTCTAACTTTAGGTCAAATAATACATAATAACATTAGGTTTAGAAGTAAGTTAGTCTCCTTTTGACTTTTCTTTCCCTTTCGCATACGCATCTAAAACTAAAACTTCTTTTCTTTCAAAAATTCAAAACACTTAAAAAAACTACTGATGAGAATCATGCTTTTGCTTAGTACGGGAAATGATAAGCGGGTCTCTTCTCGATCTTATTGTTCTTCATCTCAAGCATAGGTGTGGTTCAATTCTCAAAGACTCCTTTCATAGCTAAGTAGAAAAGTGGCTAATATCTCTCTCTTGAGGTCGACTAGTCATTATCTGCAACAAAAATACAAAACAAATTCAAACCATTTTGTGTGCTCGAGCACCATTTCTCTAAGAAACCCTTTTCAGGTAAGGACACGATTAATTTACTTCTGTGCCAACGCATAAGTCTCCAAAGGTCGAGCTGCAGCAGAAGGCGAAATTAGCTTCGTCCACAAAAAACATCTACAACAAAATATAAACTAACTCAAATCTTTTGTGCGCTCGAGCACCTTTTCTTTTAAACCCTTTTCAGGTAAGGACGCGATTAATTTACTTATGTGCCAACGCATAAGTCTCCAAAGGTTGAGTTGCGGCAGAAGGCGGGATTAACTTCGTCCACAAAAAACACAAACAAACAAAAACATATGAGCCGAACTACGGTAGCTCTGATTCCTCAAAACGAATACGTAGGCATTGGGGTAGGGCCCAAGCAAGCACAATTTTATTTTCCCTACATTCTTTTCTCCTTTTCTTTTGCATGCATTTTCCCTTAGCAGTAATGAACAGTAAGCATAGATTAAACACACCCATAAGATAGATAACAAGAGTGGATACCGTAGAGTACTACGGGCGTGTGGGGTGCTAATACCTTCCCCTCGCGTAATAGACTCCCTTACCCGATCTCTCGGTCGCAAGACCGTGACTTCTCCCTTCTCAGGTTTTCCCGATGTTTACCTTTCCCTACATGTGGGATAAAAGACGTTCGATGGCGACTTCATTGTTTTGATGATTTTCAGCCGGTTGTTTTACCAACCTAGAGCTAAGTGTCAAAGAGCGCTTAGTTCAGCTGTTGAATAAATATGTTGAGATCTTCGCCTGGTCCTACGAAGACATGCCGAGACTTGATACAGATATTGTGGCTCACCGTCTCCCTACCAGAGAAGACTGTCCACCAATTAAACAGAAAGTCCACCGAATGAGGCCCGATATGTCTGAAAAGATTAAAGCTGAAGTGATGAAGCAGTTCAATGCTGGCGTTCTTGCTGTTACTTCCTATCCATAATGGGTTGCTAACATTGTGCCTGTTCCTAAGAAGGACGACAAAGTCAGAATGTGCATGGATTACAGAGACTTAAACAGGGCTAGTGTGATGCGGTGGGAGAGAACTGACTGTTTTTGGAATGTTGGTTTGCGTTTTGCGTTTATTTTTGCAAAATGTCGCGGTAAGCAATGTAATACCCTAAATTTGTCCTACCCTTTTACTTTCTATCTGGCTTACGCATTTTTGCATTTTTTTGGCATTAGGTCATCTAACACATCATGCATCATTAATTGATAAATTGGCATAAGATCATGGATTTCGAGGAATAAGGGTTGGTGTATGGCTTTAAGGCTCCCATCTTCGCACAAGCTTGTTTCAGTTGATTTCTCCATTAATAATCTGTTTGAAGCTAGGTTTTCATTTCATGGACCTTATCATCATCAGGCTACAATGCTATTCTTTTCTTCTCAATGTCAAGTTGCAAGGTTTTATGAGACGAAGCTAAAAATCAGGGTTTATACATTTTCATATTTGAGCTTGTCAGCATTCTACCTGAGGTTCATTCCATATCAAGGTATTCACATGTCTCATCTTTCATATTCATCTGCAAAAAAACCCCTCATGGCATGGTCATTATCATCTATTGAGAAGGGGTCCAAGACGTCGTTATTCTAGTGCTCATATAATCGGGACATGGTACAAGATGTTGATTGTGATCAAGGTGTCGTTATTTCAAATGTTTATTGCTTGACACACAAGTTTGGTTTATACTGAGGAATTGAATTGAATTAGGGGTTCACTGAAGCTGTGGTTTGATTAGAATTCATTCATCAATATTTGAAGTGGATTTGGAGAAAATCAAAGTTCTTAAATATTTGCGTAGCTTTTCTTGGAATTCAAACCACAAGTATGAAAAAGCATGCATCAAAATTCATCCAACCATCAAAATATCGTCCAAATAGCCTCTCTTGGATTCATTCAAGATTCATGTCTCTTTTGGATACCTTGCAAATATTTTGGATTCATACCATTTATTTGAATTCATACAAAGGCCATTTCATTATGTGGAAATAAAGTCAACATACATTACAATTATTCAAATACATACAAGTCCAAATTCCATTACAATTATACATAACATCTATACATTTTTACCAAAACCTATCCTAATTTTCAATCATTCTCCATGTTTCAAACTTCAAGCTTCCAAAACTTCGCGTTATGCGCCTTTGTTCCAACTTCACATCATCTTTATATGAACCAAACCTGCAAAATATTGGATAAACTGTCATAAGCATGAACCGCATACACTACACTTCCATTTGCCAAAACCAATTCCCTAACCATTCTCTAAGGGCAGCCCTGCACATAAATTACTGCAACAGAAAACAACAAACTAACAGCTTCATAACTAACTTTCCATTTCCCAACAACCTTTAACCAATCTCTAACAGTTTTCCAAACCATAACCAACTTAACAAACCCAAAACAGCTTTCATAAAAAAACCAACTTAACTGTAACAAACTCCTAACTGCATCCTAACTTCTAACTGCATAACTAAATCATTACTAACCAACCTCCTATATATAAACAACCAACTTCCAACATATATAAATAGAGCCCACAGCATATATATAACCAGGGATCACAAATAGAAAAAAGAGGGAGGGGGGATCCAGATTCATTCATGATTATTTATCAGAAAAATCACAATCAGGAAAAGAGCTTCAACAAAATAAACCTCACCAGAAAAATTGTGAAGATCTCTTTACAATATTCTCTCTGCTTCATCATTGATTCTTCACAATCTGGGGGAGAATTACAAAATCACAGAAAAACTCTCTCTGCTCGTTCTCACTACTTCTCTGCATTTGTAGAGAGACCACTCCAAGGCATTTCAATTCTTTCATCTCCGCAACAAATCTGCATTCTCAACATAGCATCATCATACTCCACATTCAATCATCTTTAGGCTTTTGTAACAACCTTTAACCTTCGCATCATCATCACATCTTCATCAAGATTCTTCATCGCATAACACTGCAACCGCATCGTATCTGTCATCATCATTCCCGTTCTGCTTCAAAACTGCAAGAACAACAACTCTCTATTTCGCTCAATAACAATGCAACGCATCACACGCAACAACGTCCCTGCACCAATACACCAACGCACGGAAGAAATCACAGAATACAAAGAAGAAGACAAAAGAAAAGAGAGAGAAATTACATTACCCCACCTCTGGTTTTCTATTATCTTTTTCTAAGTCACTGTTTTTTATCGGAAGTACGAACAAAATTGAAAGAGGATGATGCGAGTTTGATAGAGCAGACGCTGGCACTGCATTCTTCGGATCAGAGTAGAGCATGGCTTCATGGCGGTGTTGATTTTGTCTGAGGGAAGCTGAATGTGTCTGTGTCAGCGGCGAGTTGAATGAAATTTGAGTGCAACCGCGATGTTGTTATTAAGAAACACAGACTGGATCGGAGGGAAGAAATCGCAATCGGATCGGAAGCTGAGGTTGAGAGCTGAGCACGGCAGATGAAAACGGGAGACGGAATCGCGAAGAGAAGACGGAGACAATGAGGAGGCGGCCGCTCTGCGTGAGTTCGACCGGAGCTTGAAGAAGCCGCCGCACGCCGCTTCTATGTGTGAGAGAGGAAGCGATATTCTTTTCTTTAACCTTATTCCTTTTCCAATCTTTTCTTTAACCCTATTCCTTTTCCAATATTCATACGTTTTTCCTTTTCTTTTTAATTGTCTTATTGTTCTATTATTTTTATTTCAAATTAATAATAATAATAACTAAGTAAATAATAAATGAAATGTTAAAAATGCTTATTGGACTCATGTCATGTTGGGCCATAGCGCCTAGATTTGGCTTGCACCACCCTGAATTCAGCTTGTACCCCCTTGATTCTTCTAATTTTTATTTTAGTTTTTTTCTTCTAATTTAATTTTTTTTAATCAATAATAAAACAATAAAAATAATAGAATATTTTTAGAATAGAATTTCTTTTTATAAT